GACAGAATGCCTTGACAAAAATCACCCAGATGCCCACCGAGGGGTACATATCGCGCTTTAAAATCTGTAGGCTGTAGGACCAATAGCAAAGGGCAGATAATTCAAAATTAATTCAAAATTTCAATTTCAAATGCAAATTTCTCCAAAACTAATGCTCCAATGTGTGCCAAAGTTCTGGAGCAGATGCGCAATCAAAATGCCTACAATTTCGCCTGGACGGCTCAAGTCGCTAAAATGCACCGTTTGGCCGCTATTTTGGATTGAAGTTTTTGTGATGTTTTTCAGCAAAATGCTGACTACTTTCCTCCCAAAATGTGCTGCACTGAAACTTCAAGAGCTACGGCTTTCAAACTTTGCATACTTTGTGTCTATGCACCTTACTACACAGTAGCATCGTCAAATGTGGCTATGTGTATTTGATGGCCGCCATGTTTGACGCTACTTCTGGGCAAAAGTTGTCTTCAAAACTTTCACGGGCTTCTTTGCCATTTTGTGCCAAACTAAACTTAGCACATACAACACTTTAAACGCTTGTTCTGAAGTGGCCTTTGGTTGTTGAACATTTTCTGTTCTTGGTCCTATGTCAAAGTCACGTGAAGCGCTACGGCGTTCAACATTATCCGTGTGAATACAACGTATGGGGAGCTAAAAGGAAAAAATACTATTTGAGACGAACCCCAAACGAAAGAAAAAGAGTGCCAAACAAACTGACCCACACCTCCAGGCACACCACGCCAAACATTACGCAAAGAGGCTTCCAACAACGTGCCAGTGATCATAAATAATACTTACAGTAAATACCCCAAAGTTTGGACAGATTTAACGAAATAGGGACTTCTTTATATCACCGACGGCCCAGGGATACATTGCCGAATGTGTCATAAGTTTCATCGACATTTACAGCACGGCAGATTACCCGTGCAAAGCATGCGACGGTCTGAAGGAAGGCGCAAGGACGATATCTCCTATATAGAGACTACCACTGCAAAGCGTGGTCCACGTGCAGATATGGCAGACGAAGTGAATTTCAACGAGAAATGTAATTAACAATGACGAGGAGCTGTCAAATCTGAACTGGAACTTCAGCGGGTTGAAACACAAGCTGGACGATACTGAATAAGAAATAATTTGTCTAAGCACGCTATCTTTGGCTTATTGGAGATCTGGAATAGCGCTACACAAGATTAAAATACAGTGCAGTAGCGGCGTTATATCTTCATTGTAATTCAATCTTTTGTAAGGGGTATGACTTTAGACAGCTTTTAAAGATTGTCAATGAATGAGCGTTATTGGTCATGGTAAAAGTTGTAGCTGTGGTCTAAGGGGGGTAACCCTGGTTTGGCTGAAGGAAACGCTAGTAAAATCGTACACCACCACCAACGCGCCGACTTTGCAATACCCAAAGAGTAATGGGCTTTTGGTACCATTTGTGATTTCTGCAGTTTGCATATATTTCAAGCGTTCATAGGTGACCTGTATCGAATTGTTACGTGTATTTCCAGTATATATACCTGCTCTCGATTCACAAATTCGGTTGCAACAGCCCGAGTGTAACAGTGTGGTGGAGACTGATACAAACTACTCAAGTACCTTAATTGCTGTGCAATCACAAGTTCACTTGCGTCAGCGTGAGAGAGTGAGTGAGTGAGTTAAGTTCTACGCCGCACCCAGCAATATTCAAGCTTTATGGCGGGTACTTTATACCACCGATGGCCCAGGGATATATTACGGAATGTGCCATAAGTTTCTCCCACATATACGGCACGGCAGATTACCCGTGCAAAGCATGCGACAGTCTGAAGGAAGGCGCAAGGACGATATCTCCTATAAAGAGACTACCACTGCAAAGCGTGGTCCACGTGCAGATATGGGGAGACGATGTCAATTTCAATTGACAATGACGTGAGCTGTCCAGCGTGAGCGGGTTAAACACAAGCTAAACGATACTGAAGTATCAAATAGTATGTCTAAGTGTATTTTCAAAGACAACAGAGGGACAAGTGAAATTCTATTTTCCTCACTGTATAGTTGCTATCTTTATTGGTTCTCTATAGAGCACAATGAAAATTTGCAGTATGTATCTCAATCGTTTGCTGATCATTTTCTGTTCATGATGAGAACATAAACATGTGATTCTTTCCGTCGAATGGCACAGGTGTTATGTGCAAAAACCCCAGAGCGTTACACAAAATTAAGTACAGTGCAGTAGAGGTGTTATATCTTCATTGAAATTCAGTCTTTTGTAAGGGGTATGTCTTTAGGCAGCTTTTAAAGATTGTCAATGAATGAGCGTTCCGGGTCAGGGTAAAGTTCTAGCTGTGGTCTAAGGGGGGTAACTCTGGTTTAGCTGAAGTAAGCGCTAGTAAAATCGGCTCCGGTTTTGCAATGCCCGAAGAGTAATACGCTTCTGCTAACAATTCGGTGCTGTTTGAATGGATTTTAAAACTTCATAGGTGACCTGTATCGCGGTGTTACGTGTATTTCCAGTATATATATCTGCTCTCGATTCACAAATTCAGTTGCAACAGCCCGAGTGTAACAGTGTAATGGATACTGATAAAAACTACTGAAGTACCTTAACTGCTGTGTAATCACAAGTTCACTTGCGTGAGCGTGAGTGTGACTGACTGATTGAGTTTAGTTTTACGCCGCAGTCAGCAATATTCAAGCTATATGGCAGTACTTTTTACATCACCGACGGCCCAGGGATACATTGCCGAATGTTTCAAAAGAGTTTCTCACACATTTACGACGACACGGCACATTACCCGTGCAAAACATGCGACAGTCTGAAGAAAAGCGCGAGGACGATTATAGCCGCTCCATCAACCGCGCTGTTTGCAATTGATTCCACACAAACGCAGACAAGTTGTGCACGTTTATTCACCGTGTCAGCATGGATAGCACTTGAAAAGTAATAGGTAAGTATGCAGTCATAACATCTACATCTATATCTACATATCAACATGTGCATGGGATACCTTGGCGACTCTTTGTCGGCTTAATTTCCCCATCATGATATGTCCTATAAAGAGACTACCACTGCAAAGCGTGGTTCACGTGCAGATATGGGAGCCGAGAGAAGTGTGTATGGTTCGCGAAAGCTATGTAAATGTGCAAATGCCGCGCTCCTATCGATCTGCCCTTTCCAAGTTTAGATCCGGTTCTGCACCTCTAAAGTTGGAAACAGGCAGATATTCAAATATGCATGTAAATGAAGAGTGTGTTTTCAATGTAGTGATAAGATTTAAGTCGAACGTCAGGTACTGTTGGCATGTCCGTTGTACGATGATCTACGTGAAAGTTTATATGGCCATATGTGGTTCAGCTATCCCAACTTCCTAGATTTATGTTATAATGAAGAAATGATTTTACTATTTAAAGAACATGTTTATTTTACAGCCAAAACCTGCGTTCTTCAAAGAAGAAAACTTATTTTATGCGGCTAAATCCACAGTGTACCTTTTATCATATATGCCATTTCTATGTAATAGTCTCTCATAACCCCTTAATTGTGGCTCATTTTATGTATATATGTCTGTATATATCTGTACTTTTACATGAGGTGAGACTTAAGTAAAATATTTGTCTGTCTTCTCAGGACGTGGACAGACGGTTTTCCTTTGATGTGGTCTGTTTTTAAGCAAGGGATTAACTGGTCGGGAAGTGTTAAAATCTTAACTGTTACCGAATTGTGAAGGTTTCGTGAGTCTGTTCACTCTGGTAGTTCACTCTGGTAAGCGTGGTTAGCATGTGACTATGATAGGTGAGTGAGTTCACTCAGAAATCGCTTGCAGTGTTGACTGATTTCATAAAATGTGTTCACTCCGATAAGTGTACACGCTAGGTGAGTAATAATCACTGTCAGGAAATTGTTGCTACAGTTAGATTACAAATTACTTCTGACATTTCGAGGCGGAAGATATTTCTGCGTGAATTGACACACATACAGAATCCTGAAGAGAAGAAGAAATGACTGGTGTTCGTGGCATCAAGTGTTGTAAATCAACTGTATCTACAGGTAGCGACATCCTCACACCCCGCTGATCCAAATGAAACTGAGATTTGTCGATGTTTAATAACCGTGGGAACATTAGCGTCATTGCCGACACAGTGTATTATAATTTTATTAAAACTGTAAATAAACCCTTGTTTCGTTTCCTTATAATTACGCAGTCTAGTATTGCCTGAAGTCTTGCAATCACAAACTCTGTCTATTGTCTGGCGTTAATTATGTTAGTAACCCAAAGTGGACACATTTTTCTAGACTTTGTTTTACACGACTTAGGATGTCCACGCCCCGAGAATACCCTACTGGAGTACCTTAGTTGCTGTAAAACCACATGTTCACTTGTGTCAGCGTGAGAGGAACAGCTTAATTGATATTGATAAACGCTACAGAAATATCGTGGCTTCGTGTCGGCATGTCTTTTTTTCGTTGCTGTTGATATTTAGATGGAAATGGTGTCTACCAACAGTGCAGAAAAAAATCACACTAAACTCGCCAGGTACCTCTATCAGTAGCAATGCACCATAATAAAGAGCATGAAAATGTCATTCTTTTCGGTAAAATGACACATGAGTTGTGTTTACTGACTGTTAAATGTGAATCACGACTTGTCAGCTACATGTGACGTACATTTAGATTCACATAATGTCAGTCACAGTGAACCTTTCAAAGTATTTAGTTGAGGCCACAAAATTTTCTGTTTCTTTGACCGTTTGAACAAAGGGTTCTTCTGTTTTGATATTCATGATACCTAAGTGATATTATTTAAAGTATGAAAATAGGTTTTGTGATGAGTTTATCGAAACTTAATGACCTCCCAGTACTTCCAGTCGAAGAGCATTCGACTAGCAATGATGTGATTCATATTAACTAATACTATTACTACATTCATGAGATATGTGAGAGATGCAAAAGACTCGAAAGAAGTAAAGCCAAGGAGCCCTACATCGCTGCTCGCAGCTATATTTCCATAAATAATTACTAATAACAAATGAATGTATAGTGCTTCCATTAATAGTAGCCATGTCAAACCGCAGGGTTATTGAAGCATTGAGTCTAGTTCCTCCATGGGGAAGTCGTCCTCCATTTCATCCAAGTCTGTGGCTTGTGTGTCTGTTGGCTGACTTGAAGTTTTCACCGACTGAGAATTCTGAGAACCTTTGACTCGGGATGACCTTCCCAGGATTAGGTGTGTCTGCAAAAGATCATCATAGACATTGATGAACGGGTTTAAAATTACAATTGCTTGATGCCCGTGTCAAATAATATTTACCTACAGGTCAGGTTTGTTCCCAACTGGTAGTGTAACATGGCCACTACAAGAAGTGCATGAGAAAAATGCTGGCAACATTAAATAAACTATGTGTAGGATTCATAAAGACTATTTTGACGTGAACTACACCACTTCTGACAGCATTCAGCATACATTCATTGGTTTGGAGACAAACAGTTTGAACAGGCCACGTAAACACAACATGCTTCGCAGAAAACCAAGGAGCAGGACTTTTCCCGTGCGGTCAGACCACGTGGAAATCGAGAGATGCAGACTCCCTTGAGTTTGGACTTTACTCGAGTTCAGGTTTCACTTGAGTTTGGACTTTACTCGAGTTTCGTTTTATCAGCTCATCCACGTAGGATGTAGATAGACTGATGAAAAAACTTGGAAATAGAAGTTCCAAAGCTGGCTGCAAAAGAGCTATATAGTAGAAAATAGACTTTAAGCTGCAATAGAGCTAGATAGATTTGTGTAGACAATAGAATTTAAAGGTATCAAATTGAGTTAGCCATTTGCATTTGTTAAAAGAGATTCCCGTTCAGTTAACCATTTTTGTTATCACTTGGATTATTTCATCAGTTTCACAAAGATTTATTTCCCCGAACAGAACATTTCGAAACTTCTATTTATTTAGTTAGTTAGTTTAGTTTTCAATTCCACTGTGCAACATTCATGTTTCTGAACATTCATAGGGATCAATAAGCATTAACTGATTATCAATCCATTATTGATGAATATTGGGCAAGTAACTTCAAGCAAAAATATTAAAAAATCTGCTGAAAGAAATCAGCATATTGGACATCACCGGTGAGAGCTGACAGGTTTAGGCTTGGAATATTAACAAAACATCCTGAACACTACTTAGAAGGTGAGTGAGTGAATGACTGTTGAGTGAGTGAGTGACTTGTTAGCCAGCCCTACACATAGCATTTTATTTATATTTTCAAAGTTTCCCAATTTTTTTAATTTAATACAAACCACTCACTTATTTTTTTTCCCCCATCCTTGCGTATAATTTGACTCTCTTCAAAGTACTGGTTAGGATGGTTGATGCTGGTCTCAACATTGTCCCCCGAAATGTTGTGGGATGCATCAAAGTATCGCCCACACGCCAACTGATAGTGACCTTCCTTCGCAAACTTTGCTATCTGGAAAGAAGATGAAGAAGGAAAATTGTATAGGATATCATAAAAACAATATGTCTACCATATTCCATGATCCAGCATTTTGCAAGTCCATTTTTTCGATAATTATACATCTACCTCTTGATTTCTTCAAATAGGGGAGCGAGTGACTTAGGTTTACTATATTCTAGTTATGCCACTGTATGTGAGCGAGTATGGTTTTACACTGCTTTCAGCAATATTCCAAAAATATCATGGCGATGGACACCAGAAATGGGCTTCACACACTGTACCCATGTGGGAATCAACCCGGGCCTTCGGAATGACGAGCGAATGCTTTACCCACTAGGCTACCCCTCCACCCCAGTTATGCCACAGCGTGTCAGCATGCGTGTCGGGAGGAGTGGGGCTTGTCTCCGTTACTTACTGGGGCTCTTACGATTCACTGGCGTATTCAGTGAATTAAACCAAATTGATTCATGAATTCAATTCATTCACTAGTTCAATCGATCCCAAGAGTAAAAAAATTATTTATTTTTTTGGTTAAAACAGTGCATATCTCAAACAAAAAAAATTCTTCTGGAAAAACAAAAGCAGACTTGATCTATTTGTCATGACAAGAAGATTAACACTAAAACAGTGGGTCTTTTATCACAATATTTTCTGGAAAGACAAATGTCATGACAAGATTAACACTGTACCAATACTAACCTGTGAAAAACAACTACAGTCCATTTGAGACAAAATGATACCGATAACACAAAAAACAAATAGACATAAAAGAATCAAACCAACGCAGACTGCAAGAAAAACAACAGACCAACTCTAGAAATAAATGGCTTATTTTTGTCACAAAAATAAAAAAGTTGTTTAAGAAACTGTCATCATTTATTTGTGTTTTCCCAGTTTGTTTGTCCTTATCCTGACTCATGCTTATTTGCTTACTGAATCCGACGGAATCGGGGGTGGGTCAACCACCTTACGGGATTCCCTGCATGATTGTATTCACATCAGCGTTCGCTTGATATATATATACCCCCTGGGAATTTTCTTCTTCTGCAGCTAACTTCAATATTTCTTGATGCTTGTCGGGGGACTACCTTCATATACTTTTGTATTAGAAGCAAACTTCTTAAGTTTTGTGGATTTAGTATACTAGACGCCTGGTTGTCTAGATATCAGCAACGACCCAATATGTTACGGTAGAACTTTACCGAAACTAGAATCGCGACCCATCTGTTAAGGCAAGAACATTACCATAACTGAGTCTATGTATCACTCATGTGCTGACTTATCTTGTAAGTCAGGGGAACACGGACTCTCAGCCGGTGGCAATGGACAGTTGCCTGGCGTCAACGAATCTGCGTGACAAGGGTGAGTTTCTTCAAAGTCTGGCCGGTACAGTGAGTTGTTGCGCTACGACTAGAGGGCCGAACTGATGTATCCCTGATACGTCTTCTGTGGAGATGTCTCTCAGGAAGTGATAAGCGAAAACAGAGTCTGACTTCCAAAGCAGCCTTCCATTATAGATGATATAGAGCAGTTTCCATGTAGGGCGAGTGTCGAGGCCAATGCTCTAGCTTCATGTGGGTTTGATGCTCTTGGATGCTCTAACCCTGCTGCTTTATAGGCTCTTAGGATCACTGCTCTGATCCAGAAGGAGATCTTTGTATGGGAGACTTCTACAGTCATAGCGGTTGATAGCGGGATGAATAGACGCTTGAACTTCCTTCTTCTCGTCCGCATTGGTTTGATTCTTTTATGTCTATCTGTTTTTGTGTTAGATTGCAATTCATCGGTATCATTTTGTCTCAAACGGACTGTAGTGTCATTCACCACAATATGCTGAGGAACAAACGGAGCTCAGTAATCAATCTATAGTCTATGGAATCATATACCCATGTGGGCAATAAGGGGACTAGTGTTGGGAATTGGTTGAAATCTCACAATTGATGATTGCTTCATTACCAACGAACAATCATCGAAAAAAATTGGTTAGTGTCATTTTTCAGATTTTCCTATCAAGTTTGTAATTGCAGATATGTACAAGATGATGCAACATGCTACTTTAGAGTGATGACGAATATATCATGACCATAAACTTCCTGGAGTCTTCAAGAAATATTCAGTCATGACTTTTCAGTTAGTGAAGTGAGTTTTCTAAGAATTAAACAAGTTTGCAGGCCCTGACAACTTCGAAGATATGTTCCACTGTCAAGTGTTTCAAAGACTAAAACAAAATAGTTTGTGTTCGATAATGAAGAAAATGTGATCGATTGCTTGGTCATTTGGTCACTGCGACCAATCTTAGATTATTTCAATTAATCGGAACACCACTAAAGGGGACACAATCACAATATTGTGCAAACAATATTGTGCACAATGATATGACAAAGACGATCTCGGATACTTCCTGTTGAGACAGGCACGCAAGTATGTTGTTTACACTTCTGTTTTCTGAGTCAGGAAACCATATTCAACTGTTTATCTCTTGAGTTAACAAACATAACAATAAGGTACATACTTTTAAAGTTTAATTTGATGTTTCATTTTTTATGAATATCGATTAGACTCTCGAGGTCATCGATAATCGCTGATGCAAGCAAAATCAATCGACTGACAGATTATTCAATCAATTGCTCCAGCACTAAAGACAACGCGGTCAAATGTTCCCCTTCTAAGTAATTCCAACTACAAAAAAATATCTAGGCAAGTTTCAGTAAATGTCCAAAGAATGACCTTCGAAAGGTTGACCAAACCATGTACACATCCCAGTGTCATTCTTCGATCCAGCTATTTAACTATTATTCTAATTTGCTGCAACGAAAACAAGATGTCATCAATTGTACTTGACATGACTTTGATTCAAAACAACAGAATTAGTTTGCAGATCTAGCTCAACCTGTGATTATAAACACACAATTTTCTACATTTCTCAGATAAAAAATGACTGGGATATTCTAAGATGCTTTGCCAAAAGATCAAGGTGCTGACAGTTTGTTAGTTGTTTAACGCCGCATTCAGCAAATACTCCAGCTATATGGCGGCAGTCTGCAAAAAAATCGAGTCTGGACCAGACAATCCAGTGATCAACAGCATGAGCATCTGTCTACACAACTGGGATATAATGACGTGTGTGCCGACAGTACTCTAGCTTCTGACTTTTTGCATTACATAACCATAATTTAGGTCACAACAATATTGTTTTATGTTTTGTGCCTTAGATTGATCGTTGTATGTATAAAAATTGGCATCTTAGAAAAGAAATACAGTTCACTCTACCCCATGCATAGTGTAATAATGTTCATTTTCGCCCTGGACTACGTGGGTCGATCAAAAAGTACGTAGTAGACTAACTGTATTCTCGATGTCCAACGTTTGAAAAGCTTCCATTTTAATTTTAAAGAATCTTTAGCAAAGTCATATCCAAAAATAATGGGTAATGTGGTTAACAAGATATTAGTCATCACAACACATTGGGGTATATTTCTAACAAAACTGCAGAAAATGAAAAACGATCTGTCATTTGGTACCTCTTGGATAATGGCATGCCCTCAGAGTATATCATATAAAATATGTTCAGTATAGTATTAGATGACTTCCCGTCATAATCAACAGTCAAAGATTTGGATTGCTTAATATATTTTTAGTCGAGGGCTGTTTTTTAAGGAAACACCCATTTCAATCTTCCTAAAACATTGTGTCCAGATATTCAAGCTGGTACTGTTTACAATATATTGTGAGCTGACACTTGTGTGACCATTCAGTGTTTAGTTTGAACCCTTGGCATCATGTATGAATAAGTGAAAGCATTAGAATAAGTTATGTCCTTATGATTACGTCATCTGAAAGGGGATGGGTTGTGTCTCCAAAACAAGCTCTTTCAGTCAACATGAAGGGGGGAGTCATTTTAACAAGCAATTGTAATTTCAATTGGCTTTTTTATGAACTTTAATATCTAAGTGTGATTCTAGGGGACTTCTATCAATCTCAAACACACAAAATATTTCTTGCATATTCTGTTAAGTTTTTGATGCATTTATTGTAGATTTTGCCTTTTTTGAGGGTACCAAGATAAAAGGTCAAACAAAATGGGGATTGTGAGACTGGAACATAGCAAAACCAAATTGCTTGAGCTTGACTGACTGACTGAATTTGGTTTTACGCCGCTTTTAGCAATATTCCAGCAACATCACGGCGGGGGGACACCAGAAATAGCCTTCACAAATTGTACCCATGTGGGGATTCGAACCCGGGTCTTCGGCGTGACGAGCCAACGCTTTAACCATTAGGTTACTCCACCGCCCGCTTGAGCTTGACAGATAATATGTAGAAAAATAAAACAAAAATAACTGTATTTGTATCGTTTTCTTGGTGATTCTACATACTTTTTGATCGCCCCTCGTATTACAGTTAAAGCACAAGGATGCTGACTACACTATACATGTGGGTAGAGTGAACTGTATCTCTTAGATATATAGAATAACTTACAACTTGGAATAATGGATGACAAGTCCCTCTAGAAGTTATGTTAAAATCACTCTACACGCCTATGCATTTACAGAATTATTTCTCTCAGAACAATTAAATAATTCCTCGCAGCTTATAGCTTTTTCTTTGTCTTTTTGACATTCACAAATCAATATTACCTCATCAACAGCATCTTTGGAAATGTTCTGTGCTCGCAGTTTCTGTCTCAGCACATCCCCATCACAGTGCCGGAACGGACAACCTAGAGTGAGATGTATCCGTAAAGAAAACTTACCAATATATATCGCTGTGTGGGCGTGGGCAGGGTGGGGACGTCAAGGTGTTACACACAGGGGTGAAAATAACTTTAAAATTGCTAGTGTACTCCGGTACAGTGGCACATGTAAAATCACTTGCCCTGATAATTTTTCCACTATACCGGCCGATTTTCTTGTTGATTTTTTAAATAAACAGCATAACTAACATTGGAAAGTCAACTGGACACCGGTACAGGTTGCTATACAAATTTGCTTGCCCGACAGAAAAAAACACTGGACTCGGATGTCGGACAATGGGTTATTTCCACCCCTGACACTGCATTCACGATTGATGATCGATGCACCTGTACAACAACATGCATGACTGGACTAGGCTGAACTAATGCTGGTTTTATAGAGGTTGGCCACGCCATATTTATTATGGATTCCCCGTTCAATTAGTGAGTAAGCAATATTCCACAACAGGGGACACCAGAAATGGGCTTCACACATTGTACCCATGCGGGGAATCAAACCTGGGTCTACAGCGCGATGAGAGAACGATTTAACCACTAGGATACCCCACTACCAGTTCAGACTCATTATACTGATTATACTCATTATACCAATCTTTGTTTTGTCCCCTAAATACTGGCGTTCCCAGATCTAACATTGAAGCAGAATCATTGAGACTCCGAGTCTTCCTATGTTTGGAAACATTATTAGTGGACAACAATCTCATACATAACATCTCTCATTGGCTCATTTTAAACCTTACTTTTTCCTCTTTACTGAGAGATCAGGGATCGAAATACAGCTTAATTTGCATGCCATGAAATATTGTTTGTAAGCACTGGCAGCATGACTAAAAGATGAAGAGGAACACTATTATGGATATACAACTTCTTTATGTAAATGTAGCCACTTACTTCAGTCAGCTGTTCTGAACTGAATTGTGCAAAATATTCCATACTGTTTAAAGGTACTGTTTACACATGAACTGATGTATTGTAAAACATATTCACAACGTTGAAAAGATTATTGTCATGAGTTCAATAAACGATGAAAATCAGTGAATATTGGCGAATTCTTAACAAAACTTTACACCAAACGCATCAGTTCACATGTACGATATTTGCACATGCTTTTCAGCAATTTGATGCATGATCCTCGTACAATTCATCTACATAAGGTTCCCCCAAGTTAGTGGAGAAAGCAATCTTCGATGTAACCATATGTATATGCATAACATATAGTGAGTGCTTCAAGTGAGTCTTTTGATGGGTAGTACAGGTGAGCTAATGTACCTCCTCCCCTTTTGGTAAGTTAACATGGTCTTAACGTGCCGTTAAAGGTTAACAGAGTTTGAGCAACAGGCTTTCGCCCTGCTAACGTTAACGATCCGTTAAAGACTAGTTAACAATCCTTTAAAATGTAACAGGCTTTTGAACAACCAGGCTCTGAAGCGCTAATTGCATTAATTTTGCGTGTGCCACAGTGACACATACAAACCTACCAGAGCCTAGTGACCTATCTGTGCCTCGACGTGACATATATCGCATTAATTTGCATGTGCCAGTGACACATAAAAACCTCCCACAGCCTAGTGACCTATCTGTGTCTCACCATGTGAGTCGCCTTGTCCAGGGGTGTTTGACATGATGATCTTCATACAACTGTACGGGGTGTAGTCGGCTCGCTTTCCTTCCTTGCCATAGTTGTGGCGGATGTTGTATGAGTACTGCTTGTCAAACTGATGATAAACAAGTTTCTTGTTATTGTACAATATTTTTCACTATCACATAACTGTATAAAAACATAAACCAGTGAACTTCTCATTGAAAAGTGCTACCTTATCTTAAAATCCTACCCGTGAAGGTCCGGGTTAGAATGAACCTTCAGTAACCCATGCTTGCTGTAAGAGGCAACTAACGGGATCGGGTGGTCAGGCTTGCTGGCTTGGTTGACACATGTCATCTGTTCCCAATTGCACAGATTGATGCTCAAGATGTTGATCACTGGATTGTCTGTTCTAGACTCGATTATTTACAGACTGCCGCCATATAGCTGGAATATTGCTGAGTGCAGAGTGAAACTAACTCACTCACTCTTAAATCCATATGCATGAGTACATGTAAATATGAAATTTTTAGAGTAAAATTAATATTTTATACTTATCCTGACTCATGCTTATTGCTTGTCTTCTTCTTCTTGCGAACATAGTGGAACACGTGTATCTCCCAATTGAAGTTCCCTTCAATTAAAAAATCACTAATTAGTACTCACCACGAGTTACCTCCCTTCCACAAGCGCGGGAACGAGGGCGCCACCTGAACCCATGTGCCTCACTCTCTCCTTTTGTTTCGAGCCCGACACTTTATTTTTCCGGAAGAAATCCAAAGTGTTAAGTGGGGAGGACGGGAGGGCTTACCTCATGAGTCAGGATAAGTATAAAATATTAATTTTACTCTAAAAATTTCATATTTTTCCTTATCCTGACTCATGCTTATTGCTTGTAGAATCTGACGGAAAAGGAGGTGGGAATATATATACTTTGGATTTTAATAATTAGTGATTTGAACTGTGATGATTGTAATAACCCTATGGGAACTTCATAAAGGCACTGAACTGATGAATTCCTGCTGTTTAACTTATCAGCTGCCATATAAAGGTTATTACAATTTATAGAATATGATAAAAGTATATACAACATTAATGTAAGCTGAAGCTATTAATGTGATAATATAAACTTCTGTGAGTTTATAGTGGATACTTTTTATAAATTAACCAAAGTATTAAGCTTAAGATATGCATATATTTAAGCTATAATAGTATAGTACTGTGCTTAAGATATAATTATAACTTAAGCTGTATAATAGTAACCAACTCCTTAGAGTTTGTTAGCTAATACATTTATGCATATGACCATATGACTTGAGCTTAAGGATTGATGAAACTTAAGCTGAACATATATATATAGTAGCAAAACTCCTAGGAGTTGTAAACTTATATATAGTATGATATAAAAACCAGAGTACTGAGCTTAAGATAATAAATTAAACTTAAGCAAAACATATAGATAGCATGTAGCTATTAGTACTGTTATCAGATAAGTATAAAATCTGTAAGATAGACTTATCTTCTCCGTGGAACTGTCAACTGTTGAGCGAGGACCATGGGACCGAAATGGTGGATACCTGAGATGTCCTCGGTGGTGATATCTCTCAGATAGTGGTTGGCAAACACCATATCGGATCTCCAGAAACATCCCTCCATTATGGTATTCAACGAGCAATTCCCATGTAGAGCGAGAGTTGAGGCTAGCGCTCTAATTTCGGGATGAATAGAAGCTCTTGGAGGGTCGAGTCCTGCAGCCTTGTAGGCACGTAGTATGACAGTTCTGATCCAGATAGAGATCGTTGTACGTGAGACTTCCGTCTGCGTAGCTGTAGATATAGGGATAAATAATCTCTTGAATTTCCCTCTGCTCTGTTTGGATCGTTGGAGATATATTTTCAGTGCCCTCACTGGGCATAGTGATAGATCCATCGTATCATGCGGTCCAAGTATGGATGAGAGAGCTGGGACGTGGAATAATCTGTCTGGTTGACCTGGCAGTTGGTTTTTCGCTATAAAATCCCAGCGAAGTCCCAGATGAGCGATGTTATGAATATCATCAAAGCGTGTTCTCTCGGAATCCAAAGCGTGAATCTCTGACATCCTGGCGGCGTAGCTAGTGCTAACAGGAATAAGGTTTTGTGGGTCAGTGATTCAAAGCGATGTAGATAGCAATGGTTCATAAGCCTCACTAGTGAGGTGTTGGAGCACTATATTTAGATCCCAGGCTGGGCGTGAAACTTCGTTTCTGATCCTCCAATCGAACGCTTCGTAACAAAGCGAGTAACTCTGGTGTTTTTGTTAACTTGACGCCCGTTCGCATAGTTATGACAGAACTTATGGCTGCAAGATAAGTGGACAAGGTTGAGCCTTTTAGATTCTTAGTTTGCCGTAGATAACATAAGAAATCTGCCACTTGAGGATGTGTAGCATATCTGGCTGTAAATCCTTTCTTAGCAGCGTAATTGACAAAACTGTGCCATTTGTCATCGTACAAGTTACGAGTTGAGTTACGTAGTGCAAGCGTGACCGCTTTAGCCGCTCTGGCAGAATAACCTCTCTTATTCAGACATGCCTTGATACAATCCATACTTGAAGTTGGAATGCTTCTGGTGTTTCGTGCACTTGTTTGGTGTGCGGATGTATCAATAGATTGGCGCGTTGTGGGAGCTGAAGAATTGGTTTTCCCATTACTTGAATGAGATCTGGAAACCAAGTTCTTGCTGGCCAGTAGGGCGCGACTAAAATCAGATGGAGGCTCTGCGTTTGACTGATTTTCTGTAAGACTTGTGGGATCAATGCTGGAGGCGGGAAAGCGTACGCGTTGAGTCTCTCCCACGATATGCTTAGAGCGTCCATTGCCCATGCTAGTGGGTCTGGCACTGGCGACACGAATGTTGTCAGTTGCTTGTTGAATCGAGTGGCGAAATAGGTCTATCAGTGGAGATCCTATTTCCATGATTATTTGATTGAATATCTCTGTGTGGAGCATCCATTCTGTCGGCGACGGTTGGTGTGGCCGAGAGAGCGCGTCTGCTAATACATTCTTTGCTCCTGGAATGTGGCAAGCTCTGACATGTATGTTTAGATTGTCGATTAAATCGAACAGTCTGAACATCGAGTCAATAGGTTCTGTGACCTTGTTGAACCTTGTTTGTTCACATAAAACGCCACTGTTGAATTGTCTGTGTGAACCATCAACTGAGCGTTCTGTAGTATGTTGCTCCAGTGACTTATGGCGTTTATGACTGCTTGCATCTCTAGCAGATTTATGTGACATTTGCTCTCTTGATTGCTCCATAGGTCTGACGCTGTCCTGCCAGCAAGGTGGGCACCCCAACCTTGTAGTGACGCGTCTACGTAGAGATGTGTGTTCGATTCGGCTCTACTAAGGAGACGCCTGCGCAAACATTCAATCTCTTGGTCCACCAGAGTAGATGTGGTTTGACATAATCTGGTAGACTGAATGGTAGAGGGTCCTCGAGATGAGCATTGATGAGGACTTGTAACGGACGTAATTGAAGCCTGCCTCTGACTGTCAAGTCTTGAGCTGATGTGAGTAGTCCCAATAGGCTCTGCCACTGTCGTAGAGTGGTAACGGAGAGAGTAGGAACTTGAGGAATAAGTTGTTGGATCTTGATCCATCTGTCCTCCGGGACTACAATACGATTCTGAGCTGTTAGAAATCGTATACCTAGAAATTGCAGATCTTGCGTTGGTTCTAGGTCCGACTTGAGTAGATTTACTAACCATCCTAATTGTGTTAGTAGCTTGATTATAAAGTTCAGCTGTAGTCTGAGACGCTGTGGATCTGGATCCACTTGTATACCGTCGTCTAGGTAAAAAGCGCTGCGAAGACCTTGTTTCGTTGATCCAGAACTTCTAAGGCCTGTTTGTTTAGTAGAGTAAGTACTGTTTCTCTTAACATAGGTAGCTGTGCCGGTTGAACGTTGAACCCTGGGGGGTTGACTGTTAACGGAGGCTTGGCCTTGAGTTGTATTAGATATCCATGCTGTAGGATGTTGGATACATAAGGATCTTGTAGTATTCCCCAGTTTTCCCAGTGTAGCTGAAGGCGTCCACCCACTTGAGACGGTTGTACTGGAACGGCAGGGGGTGGAAGACTCCAGTCGTTCCGAACCTGAATTTCATCGTCTAAATCCACGGGCACCTCTGGATGATCTGCCTCTAGCTGATCCTCCCCTAAATTTGTTGTATGGGCGACGAAAAGAATCCTTGGGATCTTTAGCTGCAGCTTATTTCTTGTCCCGTGCTCTCTGTAGCCCCGAAAACTTAGACTTGCCCGAGTATCTCTGTGTTGACTGTTTAATGACATTCGCTAAGGTATCCATGGATCAAGAACCTCTCTTGAGTCTTTAGATACTTCTTTGGAGACCTTGTCTATGTTGCCACCAAACAGTAAGGGCGAAGACCATGGAGCTGTGTATAGAGTAGTGTTGGGAATCGGTTGTGATTTCATAATCGATCATCGGTTACAATCGGATTGGCTCAACCGATCAATCATCGGTTAATAATCGGTTAAATGAAATGACAAGAATAACCTCTGAATAAAACAAGTTACACAAGACCATGTGTTTGGTATTGTCTCAGACTCCTAAAGGTAAGTAAGTTCAGTTCAGAGACAGATGGTTGAATTTGAACAAAAGAAGAGAAAAAGAATTTGTTCTTTTTATGGTTTATTTTTTATTTACCATCAATGCCAGAGATGCCAACCTCAACAATTTTATCATACTAGTGACTACAAATTTTAGCCTAAACTACCAATACGTTTCACTAGAAATTCTCTGAAATTGGAAGAACATTCATTGAAATTAGAAATATATAGACACAAACATATATTTTAAAATTAGACTAAATTACAAGACAAATATCAATTATGTTCTTGATTTCGACAAATAAATAATCTCTGATCATTTATGAAATCAACTTTCAGGATTTATTTCATATATTTTATGTTTGCAAGTAGATATATATCCAAAATTGACTCTGACATAGCAAAGTAAAGGGTACTCAAGTTTTAACCTGATTCACGATAATTCATGTAACAAGGCCTACATGTCATTCGTTTTCAATAATGTTTTAATTTGTTTGTATGCATTGTGTAGTTTCAAATTT